ATTATTGAATATAATAAATTTGACCTCTATAACTGTCACACTTCTCTACAATCACACATTTTTGTATCCCAAGTGTGATTATAGAGAGGTTTGACTGTATTTCACTTAGAGCTGCAGACATTTAGAAGGTCCAAGGTAGTACGCCACTCTTTACGTCATATAAAATTTATATTAAACGTCACGTCAAATGTCATAGTATATGTTCATTAATATTCTAATGTCTGCAGCTCTAATTTCACTAACTATAATAAAGGTGATTCTAATTAAGCGTTCAGGAAAATTTTAGCGTTACTCGAAAAATCGGTAAATGGAAAGTTTGTAAGATATTACAAATCCGGATCTAATTGTTAAATCCGGATCTAATAATTTAATCCGGATCTAATGATTCAATCCGGATATAAATGATTAAATCCGGATCTGGGTATTAATTCTAGGGTTCGCTAGTGCTATTATATCAAAAAAAAAAAAATCCGACAAATGTAAATAATTAATAACATCAAACAACATCCGACATTAGAATAAAATTATTAGTAATTCAGTTTTAGAGTTCTTGGCAATGGGGACAAAAGTTTCAGTTCTGGTTATAATCTATAGCACGGAAAAAGATATATTTTATTAATATTACTACTATGATACCCAATTAATAAAAAGATGCAACAAAAAAATATATTAGCTAAGAAATAGTTGTTACTATATACAATTGTTATTGTTGAATAAATTTGATAAAATTTGATAAATTGATGCTTCTAATTTGATAATATAATATAACATGCTAACAATTAAGAGACAATTTGATGTAATGTATATACATTTTTTAAAAAATGCAAATTTGAATGCGAAATAATAAAACAATATGTATCTTCTGAGCAAATCGTATTTTATTATTTCTATAGATAATCGTAAAAAGAATTGAGAAATATAAGCCTTTGCCTCGTCAATGCAACGCCGTGTTTTCGTAAAATGTCTCCAAATTGTGTTTGATCCGTAGATGCCAAAAGAATCGCATCTTCTTCATTTCCCCAAAAATATTTTTCATCGATTACTAAAATTATAAAAATAATTCATTATTTTGGATATATTAAAAAATGAAAAACATGGTACTAAATGTCTATACTCGGAAATCATGTGATTTATCTCTTTATGTAATGCAATTTTTTTTAAAATACCGACCGGAAATCCGTAGAACTTATTTAGTTCTAAAAAAAAATTTACGGCCAGTTTTTAAGAGCTGTATAAAAAGCATTCCGAGTATATTCATATTAATAAAGCAAATCGATTTTGTTCATTTTTAAGATTTTTTGAATTCAAAACAGTCTTAAATCATCAAATTAGTTGGAATTTTATCAAGTTATTTTTGTACAAGTTTATGAACAAAAAACGATTTGCTTGATTTTCCACATACTATCATAACCGTATCGAAAATTAATACTTACCATTATTGTTTAAGTAGTCTCTAACCACTTCGAAATTACATGAAGTATCGCCTAGTAATCGAATCACTTCCGTCTTAGGAACATGAAACTCTTCAGACAATTCTTTAATTTTAAGCAAAAATTCTTCATCGACAGCTGAATATCTCTGACGTTTGGCTACCGGTTGTTCTTGCACATCTTCATCAATGCGACGTCTTCTGCCAAGTATTCCAGATGTTTGCTGTGAAGTACCTTGTATCTCTGCATAATTTATTTGATCAATCACTTCAGTGACCTCGTTTTCTACAGTTCCAGATGTTTGCAGCGAAGTATCTTGCATCTCTACAAAATTTATTTGATCACTCGTATCAGTGATCTCATTTTCTACAATTTCAGATGTTTGCCGAGAAGTATCTTGTATCTCTACATAATTTATTTGATTATTCGTATCAGTGAACTCATTCTCTACTGTTTTATTTATAGCAGATTCTAACATTTCTTCCGTTGCTAGATCATCAGGATCTGCATAATGCGATGTAGATGAGTTATTGGTTGTCCGGACGTTACTTATTATTTGTGCACTGCGGGCAACGTTAATATTGTCCACAATCTTTTTGAGTGCCCGAGAACGCCAAGATTGCCAACTATGTCGCGGATTCTTAAAATTTAGAGATTTTAATAACCCAAATAATTTATAATTTAGAACAAAATATCAACCTTAAATATATGTAATACACACGATTTTTTCAAATTGTTTATATATTTCATTTCCACTAAGACCTTCAGTTTCAGGTATTGACTTCAGATAATTTTCCAAGTCTATATCATCTTGTAGCGTAAAATGGCGTCGGCTACGTAACAATTCATTAGCCAAAGCATATAAAAATTATAACATTGTAAAGGATTTACAGAGTACATACCCGGATCTTAAGCCAGAAATAACCAATTCATAACTACTTGTGGGTCGTAGCCTTTTAGCAGCAATCGAATCCAATATAAATTTATAACTAATTATCTTATCAGTTCCTTGAGTTGGTATTTGAGTTTTTGTAGGGTCACCAAGTACAAAATCGGCTTCGCAGAAATTGTCAGTCACTTCGCCACCATGTTCCTGCAGATTCAATGTTTTTTTTTAAAAAGGTAAGATAAAATAACTATATTTGAAACTCGTTCAAAGACACCACGAATTAAGTCTAATATAGATGACCCTTCTATTTGTTATACCATTGTGACAATTAAAGAGGTCACCAAGATTAGACTTAATGCACTTTTACGAATAATATATACCATAACTCACTTTTATTTTTTCCACTAAAGTATGTCTTTCGGGTACATCACGTTTGACACCGAACACAATTGGTGTTTCATTATTAATGAATAAAAATCTTTGTTCAGGACTTCGAGCACGACTATTGAGTCCATTAGACAATGTTGTTGACTGAGAACTGGAACCCATATTATCAATAAGTGTTTTCAACGAGAACTTTGCAAGAAAGAATCCCACTAGAATAATATATATACAAAAGTTAACGGGGGTGTGCTTTCAAATTATCACATAGGAGTTTAGGGTGTGATGCTAAATAATCCCATAAAAATAATTTACAGGTGACGTATTATTAATGCATCACTTCCCACTATATGTGATGATTTTCCGTTCATAAACTTTCAGATAAACAATAAATGAAACAAACAGAACGCACATACAATTAGTTAATGCCAACCAATCAAAATGACAATGTAAAACGCGATAATAATGAATTTTGACTCAAAGGCTATGCAGAACGCGCTTATAATATGCTAAGTTTGATAAGTTTATCAGCTTGACTCTCCTCGTCTGGGAGTCAGACTGGCCCGCAGTCAACGACTGAATGTCGGCTGTCAGTACAGCCACAAATGACTGACTAATACACGTAAGTCTACGTACACAATACGAATTACTGAATTAGGGGGAAAGGACAAAATTATAGATACACAATAGTGATGCTCCAATGATCCGTAACTAGTCACGACATAAACTTTAACTAGTTAAGTATAAGCATGACATAAGCAGATGATTTGCAATTTACATTTGTAACACGAGACAGAATATCAAACATGAAACCACGTGTGTGAATTTATTAATAAACGCATTGTACAAAATTATCGTTATTTTATTTTATAGACAAAAAAATATTTGTGCATATGACTGGCTTTCGAGAATCGCTATTTAATGATTATTGTGCCATAGTTCTTATAATTCAAGAAATAAATTTATCTCCTCATATAAGCTTGAGTACCAGAATTCTTTGATACGTTTCGTTTAAAGCCGTTGATTAAGTCTACAACTGTAGGATAAATTTGATCCTTTAATTTGTATCCATCTGGTCTAATAGATCCAATCTATACAATTAAAATAAATTACAAGTGAGTTAAATTAATTAATCGAAAATTAATAACTAATTTATCGAAACATACCCAGGTATCAATTTGAGATCCTGGCTTGAACTTGAACATAAATGAGAACCAGCCAGGAGTCTTAGTATCAAGACAAAATCCATATTCAGACTGTCTTGGATTAACTGTTAAAGACATGTTAAGAAAATCCCCTATAATTATCAAATTTCAAAAGTTTATCAATAAATTATAATGAGGAAAATAATAAATCATTATTGATATAGGCTTACTTAGTATATCTTCTGTAGCCTTGTATTTCGGATGGTTCACTAAAGCTTCAACTTTCTGAGCTTTGGACTCTACATATTCAACAATTAGTTCATCCAAATCAGAATAGACATATTTGCCATTTTCAACTAAAAGTTTACGTCCGATTACGGCCCCAGTCTTATCTTCTTCAATAACATCTAAAAATTTATATCACATATTACAATTTATTTAATTTAGTAAATTAAAAATAATTTACTAAATAATAATAATAATAATAATAATAATCAATTCTACCTACCAATGTGCTGATAAATATTATCATAAAGTTTCCAAGTAATACTTATATAATTATGCCCTTTGGATGATGGTCGGATTACCAAAGAACCGGGTTGCTTATCACGAAGATAATCTTGTGCTTCCGCAAAAGTAAACGGTTTGAACATAGGATGTGGTATCACACGTGTATGAGGTTTATGAGTAATTACATTCCTTGGCTTAACTAAAAGTACAAATTAAATAACATTTCTTTATTATTATTTGTTATGTTAACTAATTATACACAAAATGTGAATAAATATTACCTTGTTTTGAAGATTGTGCCCTTGCCTCTGCATCATAATCATAGTCAGAGTCGACAGACCTTTGAGATTGAATGGTTTGTTTGCCATTCACATCTCTCGGACGACAACTCAGAGTAACAGAAAATTTTATCTTGTCAATGGACAAAATTTTTGCATAGATTTGTTGATCTATATGGAATCTTGATCGTAATTCCTGAGACTCTATTCTGTGATCTGCGACATAACCAATGGTAATTGTTCCATCCAATCCTGAATCAAGCTGGCATTTGAGTGCCTTGTCTTCTATTTTGTATATCTTGACACACACTATGAGACCTTCATATAGTGTGTCGTCAGTTTCTCCTATGATCATTTCGAAAATTTTAGCGGGAGGAGGTATTTCAAAAGGCTTTCGAGGATCTGCATAAGGATTCATCATTTCAGTCTTGATATTGTGTAAAATTAATTTTGTTGGTGATTCATAATATTTTGAAAGACTTTTGGCATAATCCTCCAAAATAAGATCATTAAGTCTATCCGGTTCTTCTGATAATCTTCTAAGAAAATCGCGACGATTAGATTGTTGTAATTCCTCCTCTGCCTCATCATCGTCCAGATCAAGAGCATCCGCAGCCATTTTACGCGCTAAAATGTAATATGTAGGATGAATACGAGTATCATCAAATGACTCCAACGCTCTTGGTCGAATTCGAATAAATCCGGCACAATTAGCATACACTTTAGGGCCTAGTTGATACACTCTATTTAAATCTTCCCTTTTTGCTACATCTATTACATCAGAACCATATCTTCTTTCCATGTCAATAGTCTGGCCCTAACATAGCAAGACATTAAAAG